GCAGTATAAGAGCCATTGTTGAACTCCTACCATCTTGTATGGTGAAGCTCTGCATATTTCCAATTTTTTTTTTATTACTTGTTACTGTCTTTGATTATTTGATCAACCTTATATTCTTACGTCTGGTGGACTGAGCAACTTCCTTGAAGTATGTAATGTAGCCACCACTATTAATTCCTGTCATTTTGTTTTGGGGTCATGTATCATTTTTGTTCTTTTTATGTTGTTTTGGTTTTGTCTTCATTGTTGTTGTTTTGTTAGTTTTTTAAATCTTTAAAATAAAAAGAAAAACAACCATTCCTGTCAGTGCTGGTGAGACATCTGAAGGAGACACTTCTGACAGGAATAATACCTGGCTCAACATTTCTGAAAAATAATTCAGTAAAATGTGTCAAGAACCTTTACAAAGTTCATAGGCTTTGATAGAGAAATTCCACCTCTCAGAACCCAGTGAGAGATAGAAACAATGATCTATAAAATTGTTTACCATACTCTATTTCACTATTGGTAATAGCAAAAAAATTGGAACTAATCAAAATGTTCAAAGAATGATTAAAAATGTTTATCCATAAAATAAAATATTATATACATATAGAACATTATGTAAGATTATAATGGGGAAATGCTTACAAAATACTCCTAAATTTAAAAACCATACAATATAATCTTTTTTTTTTTTTTTTTTTTTTGGTACCGGGAATTAAACTTAGGATCTCTTGCTTGCTAGGCAGGCACTGTGCCACTGAGCGATATCCTGGCCCAATATAATCTTAATTACTTAATATTAATATTAATAGGGATATCTTAATATTATTTAATATTAATAGGGGTATCTGAGAAAAGTATGATTTAAAAATTTCTTTTTATCTATTCATAGTTCCAACTTTCTAAACTATTACAATACTACAGAATTAATATGTGCATAATGAGAAATGAAATATCTGCAGTTAACCATTACTTTACATTAAGGTCATTTCCATGAAAATAGTAAGATACCACAAAATAGAAGTTAACTTAAGTGCCAAGTCTTATTTATGATTGTCTAATTTCACACAAATGTATAACTCTTCAATTTTTTTTCTGTTTGTGGAAGGATAATGTCTTCATTTTATAGGGCATTATACTGACAAAGAATATAAAATTCTTGGGGAAATTATACATGAGGATGTTCTCACATCCAGATAAAAATCTTACTGCCAAGATTAACTTCTGAGATTGAAAAAAAAAAATAAAGCCAGAGTAATGGTGCATGCCTACAATCTCAGAACTCTGGAAGCCTGAGGCAGGATGATTACAAATTTGAGCCCAGCCTAGGCAGCTTATTTGGGATCCTGTTTTAAAATAAAAAATAAAAAGGGCTGGGGATGTAGCTTAGTGTGAAGGCCCCATGTTCAACCCCTGGCCCCATAAAGGAAAAGAAAAGAATATGTTTATTTGTACATCTTTGTAAACTTTTGGGAATCTACCTATAGGATACATTTATAGTGATGCTACAGAGAAAGATACGTTGAATCTTAATTTTTTGGGCAGGATAAGGTAAATTGTCCTTCCCCAAAGGCTGTACCCCCTTGCAGCTTCTACCACCTGTAGAGTTCTTCACATCTCTGGCTATCAGCTGACTGTTCTGAAATTTTGCAAGACTAATGAAAGTTAACATCATCTTGCTGAATAGCACGTGAAGCTATGGGTGAGACTGTATCTTCTTATACAGAAACTGTCTTTCCCATCTTTTTGCCTTTATCAATGCAGCTGTTAGTTTTTCTTTCTTTCTTATCAGCTTCAATAAAGGAGCTCAGGTCTTTGTCTTACTTTAAAAAAAGAAACTGGGAAAACTGCCTTCTAATACATAAAAAGTAATCCCACTCAGTAAAACCTTCTCTTATGGATTTTGAGTTTTATGTTATTTGGAAAGCCCTTCCCTAGTACAAGCTGAAAAATACGCTTGCCTACACTTTTTCTAAAAAGTACATAACAGTGCCGGGTGTGGTGCATGCTTATAATCCCAGCACTCAGGAGGCTGAGGCAGGAGGATCATTGAGAGTTTGAGATCAGCCTGGGCTACAAAGTGAGCTCAAAGCCAGCCTGAACTGCATAGTGAGACATTGTCTCAAAAAAAAAAAGGCACAGGAAAAAAAAGTATGTAACATTAAAGTGTATTCGTCTAGAATTAAATATTGATGTAAGACAGGGGTTAGAAACACAAAGACCAGCAAAAAGCACCAAATTATTGTAAATGTGTAAAATAGGCTGGAAATGCTGGGCATGCTGGTGCACACCTGCAATCCCAGCACTCAGGAGGCTGAGGCAGGAGGATTGCCATGAGTTCAAAGCCAGCGTGGGTTACATAGTGGGTTTAAAGCCAGCCTAAGTTACAGAGTCAGACTCTGTCTCAAAAAAACACCAAAAAATAAAATAAAAACATTCTATATAGGATCTTTTCCTCCATTACAGTTCCTGTTTATATAGAAAGCTATTAATATACATCTAGAAGGTGTGATCAGAAAATATAGTGAATGCTTCAATTTTAAAAAAACTCACCACAGTAAAAGATACATTGTCAAGAACAATGGGATAAGTATGTTTGAAGGGGAGGTTTTTTTTTTTACACATTAGATTTTATTGTACATTTTAGATATATATATCAATCAGATTCATCATAGAGAATTTGTACCTGTACATGATATAACTCCCCCTCCAAAGGGAGGGCTTGAAGGGGATTGATGGCAACGTCTTTTCATGTAATAAAATTTTTAATTTCAATATTCTCTGTATTTTTTGATAACCCCATCATCTACTCATTTTGTAATTAGTCATCCTACTGAATTCTTGTTTTTTCCAGTTTTTTTGGCACATCGTATGACCTATAACAACCTGCCTCCCCTTTTCAAATATCCCTACAACTTATTTTTTTCTCCAATTTACCCACTGCCTAGTGTGTCCAGACAATGGTTAAGGGATGCTGGTGAGCATCCTGTTATAAATGTCTGAACAGCTTACAAGTCTGCTGTACTGAGTAAGAACATGTTTGGGAGACAGACATGGGTATGAGTCCCTGCTCCACCACCTACCCCAGGTGACTTGGGTTAAGTTCAGCCTCCCTACATCTGTTACCTGGCGGGCACATATGAACTGCTCCGTAAACATCAGCTATTATTAGTGGTAGTAAATTCAGCATGCATGGCTGGCACAGGGGTGGTTGTGATGTGTCAGATGTGTTGACCTCAGAGAAGCCAGACCTTTCCCAATTATGTGACCTCACACAGCTCTGGTTTCCCTGTTTATGTGTAAGTTTGTACTTGTTCAGTGAGGTGCCTTACGGACACCTATGGGTGGTCTTCTTCCCATCTACATGAACATTGATTAACAAAACCAGCTCCTTCCTTTTTTTTTTAAATTGAGACAGGATCGGGGCTGGGGATTTAGCTCAGCGGCAAAAGCGCCTGCCTGGCAAGCGCAAGGTCGGGAGTTCGGTTCCCGGTACCGGAGAAAAACCAAAACCAAAAAAAAATAAAAATAAAAAAAAAAATAAATTGAGACAGGATCTTGCCATGTTGCCTAGGCCAGCCTTAAACTTACGGGTTCAAGCAGTCCTCCTACCTCAGCCTTCCTTGTAGCTGAGACTACAGGCATGTATCGTGGTACTTAGGAAACCAGTTCTTATCTAACTGAATGTAACAGCACAGTGTCTTATGGTGACTAAAAAAACCCTAGAGCAAGCTGGTCTCTTTGTGTTCACCTTGCAGAGCACAGGTAATACTTACCAACTGATTCCTTTCCCATCCGTCTTCTTAGTTACTAATGCTTTCCAATAGTCATGAGTGCTTTTAATGATATCAACTGCAAAGTCCTATAATTTCAGGAGATATGTATTACAATGACAAAAATTAACCTTTTTCTATTATCAGCAGTTCCCCAAAGCTGCTATCTCCCTCTCCCCTCTTTTTGTGTACTGGGGATCGAACCCAGGGCTTTTACACTCAGCTGTATCCCCAGCTCTTTATTTTTTGAGACATGGTCTCACTAAGTTGTGTTATGGTTTGTGTCTAGATGTCCCCCAAAAGCCTCAGGCAGTTTTAGATGGGGCTTTTTTGGAGGTAGCTGAATCTAGAGTTTGTGATTGATTCATGGTCTAATGCTGAGACTCAGGGTGTGAGTGCTACCCCTGCCCTAGGGCGGGCACCCTGCATACAATGTAAGGGGACAGAAAGAAGCTTGTTCTCTCTCTTTTCACTTGTTGCTTTTGCTGTCTTCTGCCACCATAAATGGTTGCCCCTCTGCCATGTGCCACCCTGCCTTGGAGCCAGGAGATTATGTACTGAAACCTCCACAGACTGTGAGCTAAATAAACCTTTTCCCCTTTAACTTTGGGTATCATGTATTTTGTCTCAGCAATGAGAAAAGTAACTAACACGGTTGGCTAAATTGCCCAGGCTGGGCTTGTTCTCTTGACTGTCCTGCCTAAGTCTCCCAGAGTTCTGGCATTACAGGTGTGTGTACCACACCCAGCCATTTTGTCTCTTTCAATCACTTCCTCTTGAGGCTGGGGATTTAGCTCAGCGGCAAAGTGCCTGCCTGGCAAGTGCAAGGTTGTCAGTTTGATTCCCGGGCCGGGGGGGCCGGCAGGGAGGGATCACTTCCTCTTATCAAAAATGGAAGAGAACATTTTAATAAACACCAAGATTGTCTTATATCTTTAGACTTTTGTTTTATCAGTCTTTAGATGAGAACAATATGGTTCAATTATAAGCTACACACAATTAGGCCTAAAGCTACAGTTCTGAATGACACATTACCTTATCTTTAAACTCTGCATTGAAAGCAAACTCATTTTCTGGTTTTCCATCAGGAACTTTGTACCTTCTAAACCAGTCCACAGTAGCTTCTAGGTAGCCAGGTTTCAACCGTTCAACATCATTGATATCTAGGAGAAAAAAGAGATTGTATGATGTGTAAGTATTTATACATTCAACAAAAACATCGAGTATTGATTTGAGAGAGATGTAGTTTAATTACTTTATTTTATTTTAATTTTTTTGAGACAGGGTCTTGCTATGTAGTTCTGGCTGGCCTTGAACTCACTATGTAGCCTAGGCTGGCCTCAAAGTCATGGTGATTCTACTGCCTCAGCCTCCTGGTTGCTGGGATTACAGGTGTATGCCACCACACTTGGCAGAGAAAGTTGCAGTCTACTATCAAAAAGTTTAGGCTAGATAATAGAGTTTGTTAAGAAGAGAATGAATACAAATTAAAAGGAAATCAATCTACAGTTTTAGAATAACTCTGAAATTAAGCACTGAGCTATCAGATCAGTACAACTGTAACAGCTATTAGCTAAGAGGAATGAGAAATGATTGAGGTTTCAGAATGAAAGAGCCCATTTGGCAAGTGTGGATAACTTCTATGAGAAAGGCAGAGGGTACTAAAAGGTCAGGTTGAGGCTGTATTTTAGAGGGTCACATCCCAATAAGAAGAAAAATGGATTAGACCTGTATTTTCTGATGGGTTACTTTTTAGAAACATTTTTTCTTTTATCTTTAACACTGTAGTGCTGGGGATGGAACCCAGGGCCATGTGCATGCTAGGCAAGTGCTCTACCACTAAGCTACATCCCCAGTCCATATAGCCACAGGAGAAAGAAATTAGGAAAACAGTATCATTCACAATAGTTTTAAGAAAAATTAAATACTCAAGAATTAACCTAACAAAGGAAGTAAAAGACCTCTCTAACAAAACTACAGTACTTTGGCAAAAGGAGATGGAAGAAGATAGCAGAAAATGGAAAGAAAGCTGGGCAAGGTGGCACATGCCTGTAATCCTAGCACCCAGGAGGCTGAGGCGGCCTGGGCTACATAGAGACTCTGTCTCAAAAAAAAAAAAAAAAAAAGAAAATGGAAAGACATTTCCTGTGCCTGGAGAGCCAGAACCAATATTGTCAAAATGGCCATACTTCCAAAGCGATATATAGATATAATGCAATCCCAAGCAAAATAGCAACAGGATTCCTCACAAAACTAGAAAAAACAATGCTGATATTCACTTGGAACCGGAAGAGACTCAGAATACCAAAAGAAATCCTGGGCAACAGGAGCAAAAGCAGGAGAGATCACAATCCTGCATTTTTAAATTATATTACAAAGCTACAGTGATAAAACCAGCATAGTACTGCCACAAAGCCAGACATACAGCTCAGCGGAACAGCATAAGCAGAAACAACCCCAGGCACACTCAGCCATCTTGATCTTTGACAAAGGAGCCAAAGACACACTCTGGAGGAAAGATGGCTTCTTAAACGGTGCTGGGAAAACTGGCTATCCACATTCACAAGACTGACTCTAGACCCATATCTCTTACCACATAAAATCAAAATGGATCAAAGATCTAAATGGTAAAACAAAAACAATCCGATGGAAGATAAAATAGGTAAAACTCTTGAAGACCTAGGTAAGGAGTTTCTGAACAGAACCCCAACTGCACAAGAAATAACAGAAATAACATCAAGAATCATCAAATGGGATCATATCAAATTAAACAGCTTTTGCACCACAGAAGAAACAACCAATAGAGCAAAGAGACAACCTACAGAGTGTGAAACAATTTTTTGCCAGCTATTCTTTGGACAGAAGATTAATATCTAGAATATAAAATAATTAGACTCCCTACCCCCAATGAAACACCCAATCAGAAGATGGGTAATTGAAATGAACAGATACTGGAAGAAGTACAAATGACAACAAATACATAAAAAAAATTCAACATCTCTGGCCATTAGAGAAATGTCAATTAAAACAACACTGACAAGGCCAGGCGTGATGGCGCACGCCTATAATCCCAGCACTTGGGAGGCTGAGGCAGGAGGATTGTTGTGAGTTTGAGGCCAGCCTGGGCTACAAAGTGAGCTCAAGTCCAGACTGAACTGCATAGCGAGACCCTGTCTCAAAAAGACAAAAAACAAAACAAAACAACACTGAGAGTCCATCCCACCCTAGAAAGAATGGCCATCATCAAGAAATCAAATAATAAATGCTGGTAAGGCTACAGGGAAAGGGAACCCTTCTATATTGCTGGTGGGAAGGTAAAGCAGCACAGCCACTATGGAAATTGGTATGGAGATTCCTCAAGGAACTAAAAATAGAAATTCCATTAGACCTAGCTGGTCTTCTTCTAGATATCTTCCTGAAAAACTTAAAGACATTATACATCATAGTACTTTAGTTCTGGCCAACAGAAAAGTGCACCACTTAAAACTTTAAAACCTTTCTGTTCGGCCATCAACAATGGCTGGCCTCAATGTCACCAAATGTCTGCTCCATGCCAGCAAGCAGAAGATACCAGTACTAAAAAGTCCATCAGGCTGAGTGTGATGGTGCATGCCCCTAATCCCACCATCCAGGAGGCTGAAGCCGGAGGACTGTCATGAGTTCAAGGCCAGCCTGGGCTACAGAGTGAGTTGAAGGCTAACCTGAACTACATACCAAGACCAAAAATTCCCAAAAATCTATCAGGGAAAGTATTACTGGAAAGCAAAATATACATGCAAAATACAGTGGTACCTTGGTTCATGAGCTCGATTCTTTCCATGATTCTGGTCACAAACCAAGTTAGATAAGAGCCAAATCAAATTCAATGGCTAGGTTCAATGTTGACCTTATGGGGAAATTTGATGTGGTTCTTGTCCAGTTCAGCTGTGACAAGAACTGTGGAGAGAACTGAATTCATGAACCACGATACCACTGAAGTCTGTATTTGTGTAAGATTTAGCTTCAGTTTAATTTGTAATCTACATAGATAAGGGACACATTGCCAGGCATGGTGGTGCACACCTGTAATCCTAGCTCTTGGGAGGCTAAGGCAGAAAGACTGCCATGAGTTCAAGACCAGCCTGCACTACATAGTGAGACCCTGTCTGAAAAATAAGTAAGTCAGTAAATAAAGCATATATTCTATTATCACAGTACCACTAAAAGTGTGGAAACTTTAGAGTACACTGAGAAATATTTAAACATCAATAGATTTCTTTTTTTTTTTCAGCAGTGAGAACTGAACCCAGGATCTCTGCACTGAACTACAATCCTCAGCTCTTTTTGATTTTTTACTTTGAGACAGAGCCTCACTAATGGACTATATTGCCCAAGCTGGCATTAAACTCACATCCTCTTGTCCCTCAACCTCCCAGAAGGCTGGGATTATAGCAGAGCCACAGCTGGCTATAATGCTTATACATTTCAAAGAATTTATAAAAGACATGAACTGTAGCTCTTATCTGACACTATCCATCTGGCACTAGCAGCAGCTCTAAGTTAAGGATCTCAGTCAGTCTCAAAAGACTGCTCCACCTTCAGACCACAGGCCCAAACCCTGGGCTCCCTATATTCCTTCCTGGCCCCCTGGCTCTAACTGGGGCCAGAAGGGATCCCAACCATCTTCTAAGGTTCCATAATTTGCCACAACTTGATGTAAACCACTGTGAAGCAGACCTGAGCAGGACTTAATCAATTGGTTTTTCATGTTCACTTGTGAATCTGTCCAAAGCCTAGGCTCCTTGTCTGGAAATGGTGGACTCATAGTAAGTGAACCTCTGTGAGTCACTAATTCCTACTAAAACCTATAGCGGTGGATGAAGCCAGAAAGCCTCAAAGGATAAGACAAGATCACAGCCAAGGACACCTGGATCAGATCCCAACTGGATAAAGACTACAGCCTCAGGCATCTCACTCCTGCGTGGATTAACTTAATACCTTACGTGGAGAAATCCTTGAGTGATTCTGCCCTTCTTGAGTACTCCTCTCCCTTCTTCTGATAGCCAAATAAATACAGGCCACCCAGAGAAGGTCTTGGTCTTACCCCTAACAGAATCTCAAATTCTGTGAGGGCGCTTTGATCCTCCTGGAGCCCTGAAATCATTCCATTTGCCTCTTTTTATTTAGCCTTCACTGTACACTTGTTCAGGAGACTGTGGACCTGATCAGCCCACAATAACTAAGGGATATTATTAACTCAACAACAATTCACAGAACTCAGGAAAGGTTAAATGAATCATTTGTTGGAAAACATTACACTATCAGGATCACTAAACTATCAGGAAAACACTACTTACTGGTTTAGTACAAAGGATACAACCTAGGAACTGAAGATGGAAGCAATGTATAGGGGCCAACCTGTGCTGTGGGCAGACAGACACTGCCCTAGGTTAACACTTAGGCAAAGCTGCACACATTACTGGTACCATGAAACTGGCTGGCCAGGGAATGTATTTAAGATTCTAAGAACCTTTACTGCAGGGAAACATTGTCCTAGCGAATCAGTTGGCTTCACCAACTGTGGCTGCAGCATGCTAGGCAGCATGTTCTCTTGTGTTAGGTGGCACACAGCACATCTGAAAGCAGACACAAGCGATCGGCAGGATCAGAGCTGTACCAACAGGTAGATAACAAGCAGTCCAAATGCACTCATAAAATTTGGGTGCAGACACACTGAATTGAAGTTAAGTCTCTCCTCCTCAGTGCTCTATGAAAGGACTGCTTCTTCCAGCCCCTGTCAATCATTCACACACACATAAAATGACTCATCACTACTGATGTTGACCTTGATCCCCTGGCCCAGGCAGTGTCTGTTACGTTTCCCCCCTGTAACGTTACTCTGCCCTCTCCCCTCTCCATATTGTACTGTGTGGAAGGAAGTCACTTTACAATCACCTACAACAGGGGTTGGGAGTTACGCTCTGCTACCTTAAAAATCAGTAGCTCCATAAATAATTCACAATTTTGCTGGACAGATTTGTCTACTCGCCCCCATTTGTTCATTCATTCACGTTAGTATGGATTCAGGGGTATCTATCTTATCCTCTGGGTTATAATGCAAAACTGCCTTTTTCATAACGTAAAACTGCCTTAACTGTGGATCCCTCTGACAGGCACTCACTGTGGTTCTTTAGAAGCATTTACTTCCTGTCACTACAGGATGCTTCAGGCTCAGTTCTGCCCCAGCCCTTGGGGCCCTTTTACTGTAGAAGAGTACTGGAAACCAAGATCTGGGTACTGAGAGGGTCTTCTAAGCTTGCAGCCCATAGAGAAAAGAAACAAATGTGTGTACACCAATTCATGTATATGCACACATGTAAAAATATATCCTTTATATATTCATTTGTATTAATATTATTATAAACATGGATTGTTACTGTATGTCCAACTAGCCACCTCCCCTTGCTTGTCTACCTTCCCTACTCAACATGGAGAAGCCTGGATCCCACCACTTAATCGCTCAGACCAGACACAGTGGCTCAGGACTGCTAACTGCACCTCCTCGAGGAACAACTTCCCAACTAGTGTACAAGTTCTTACTGACTACACTCATTTACAGAATTTCTGAGGTCAGTACCTTGTCTTCCCACCCTCAGTGAGGTTATTTCACAGTAATACTTTCATTTACAGAATAAGAACTTTTCATAGTAAAGTGTGTAGCAAAGTCAGATTCTTTTATCATACTTTGCATTTCATCCAGGAGATAACTTTGTCAATAATTTTTTTAAAATATGCATTTATACTGTATATTAATTACCTAATGCTGCCGTAACAAATGATCCCAAACTCAGTAGCTTAAAATAGCAGACTCATCCATTCATTTCTGGCTCCCAACGTGCAGTCTTCCTGCCTCAGTCTCCTAAGTAGCTGGCATTACAGGCATGCACCACTGCACCCAGCAACATACACAGCTTTATTACCTAAGAACTGCATAGGTCGAAGTTCCCAGCCTCACTAGCCTACAATCTAGATATCAGCAGTGCAGCATTTCCTTCTGAAGGCTCTAGGAGAAAATCTGTTTACTTGCATTTGTCAGCTTTCACGGGCTGCCTACTTTCCTTGGCTTGTGCCATCATCTCTTCACTCTTAACATCTTCAGGCCAGCAATGTGGCACCTCCCTGATCCTTCTCCTGCCAGCACATCTCTCTGACAAGTCAGAAAGGTTTCTGCTTCCAAGGATTCAAGTGACTGGACTGGGCCCACCTGGGAACTCCAAGATGCTCTCTCCCCACCTCTGTCCACGTAAGGTAACCTACCTTCCAGCTTCCAGGGGTTAGGAGGTAGGCATCTTTGGATAGGCCATTACTCTGCCACTGTAAAGGTCTATGGGCTCTGACAAATGCACCTTATCACATGTCCACCACTAGGGTGTCATCCATCATACAGAACAGCTTTACTACTTGTGGTGGGCGGGATACTGGTCCCTCAAAGATGCACATCTCTTAGTTCCAGGTCTCTGAATATGTTTCAGGACAAGGCCGAACAAAGATAGCAGATGGGATTGTGGCAATCATCTGACCTTAAAATTGGGATATTATCCTGCCATATGCAGGTGGCTCCAGTGTAATCATATAGGTGTAGAAGAGGAGCAATATGAGTAAGAGAGAGAGTGGCTGTGACAGAGCACACTCAGAGTGACACAGGACCCAGCTGGCCACTGCTGACATGGGACTGAACCAAGGAGCATGGGTAGCCTGTAGAAGCTGCAAAGGGCAACAAAATGAATTTCCCCCCAGAGTCTCCAAGAGAATATAAGCCTGCAGACACCCTGACTATAGCTCAGCCAGGCTCATTCTCATAAGAAGACTAATTCAAGAATTAAATAAATGCATTGGAACAATAACCAAAAGCAAAATTAACATAAAATAGAGTCAAGATAGGATTGGGGGTCTAGTCTAGAAAGTGTGAGTCCCAGAGTTCAATTCCTGGAACCAAATGTAATTAATTCATTAAAATAACGTAAGTTAGGCACAGTGTTATAAGGTAGAAACACTGACTTTCTCCAAAGAACTTTAGGCAGTCAAATTACAACTAGCTCACACATTTCTGGTCAGTGATTTTCAAGAAGAACGCCAAAACAATTCAAAGGGGAAAAAAGACTTCAACAAACGTTGCTGGGACAATTGGATACTCATATACATAAGAACAGAGATCCAAGAATGGACCCCTCTTTCACACGGTGTAGAAGAATTAATTTAAAATAGACCAGGTTGTGTCACGTACCAGTACAAATTCTCTATGATGAATGTGATCATTATGCATACCTGAAATGTACCAACAAACATTGCTAACAAAAAATAAACAGTAATTACATTGAAAAAACAAATAAAATAAAATAAAATAAAACAATAAATAGATCAGGACTTCAATATAAAAGCTAAATTTATAAAACTCTTGGAAAAAAATGTACAGTGGTATCTTGGTTTACAAACTTAATTTTTTCCATGATTCTGGCAATTCAGTTGCAACCAGAATTGTGCAATGAATACTGCAACCAGAACCATGGAAAAAAAAAAACAAAACTAAGTTTGTGAACTGACGCACCACTGTTAAATTTAAATCTTTATGACCTTAGATTAGGCAATGGCTTCTTAGGACCAAAGTCACAATCAAATAAGAAAAAACAGCCAGGTATGGTGGTGCATCCCTGTAATCTCAGTTACTTGGGAGACCGCAGCAGGAGGATTGCAAATTTGAGACTAGGCTCAGCAACTCAGTGAGATTCTGTCTAAAAAAATCTGGGGATGTAGCTCTCTGGCAGAGTACTTGCCTACCATGCACAAGGCTGTGGGTTTCTCCAGTACTGAAAAAAAAGAAGGGAAGAATGAAGCGAGAAACACAGGAAAGGAAGGGAGAAGGAAAGGAAAAGGAAAACACAAATTGAAAATAAATTCACCAAAAATAAAAGCTTGAGAACTTCAAAGGATATTGTGAAGAAAATTAAAGGTCAATCTACAGAAAAAAATATAGGCAAATCATATATCCGATAAAGGTCTGGAATCCAGAATATATATATTTACAACTCAACAACAAACACACCTCCAACTAGGACAGCAATAACCCAAAAGATAAGTAACCAGGGCTGGCGAGGCTGTCGGAAAACCGGAACCCTCCTGCACCACTGGGGAGAACGTGAAATGGCACAGCTGCTTTGGAAGGGAGTCTGGCAGTTCCTCAAACGGTTAAACAGGGCCACTACAGATCAGCAATCCCACTGCTGGGGAGACGTCCAGAGAATTCCAAACACGTCCACACAGAGACAAGCACAGGACAGTCAAGGCAGTGCTATGCGTAACAGCTAAAATGTCCACACCTGATGAAAACAGTACCAAATTCACCGTAAAAAGGAGAAGAGACTGATAAAAGCTACCACCTATATGAACCTAGAAAACATGCTCAGTGTAAGCAGTCAGACAAAACTGACCACATATTATAGAAACCCATATATGACATATCTAGAACAGGCAAATTCATAGATAAAAATCAGACTAGAGGCTGCCGGGAGAGGGGCAAGGGCAGGAACTGAACTAGAGGTGCTGGCTGCATAACCCTGGTAATGTATTAAATGCCACTGAATTGTACACTTTAAAATAGCTGAAGCCAAGCATGGTGGTACACGCCTATAAACCCAGCATTTTGGGAGGCTAAAGCAGGAGGATCACAAATTTGAGCCTAGCCTGGGCAATTTAAGGGCACCCTGTAGGGCTGGGTTGTGGCTCAGTGTGAAGGCCCTAGGTTCCATCTCTAGTAATGAGAGAGGATGGATGGACAGACAAATGGAAGGCAGGCAGGGATTGGGGTGAGAAAAAAAGAAGGGAGAAAATAGGTGAACGGTGAACTTTAACTTACATGAATTTTATCACCAAAAATGGGAAATGCTGATGCTACAATGTGGCTGAACTTCGAAAACACTATGCTAAGGGAGAGAAGCTGGACACAGCCACCTATGATATGATTCCATTTACACAAGAAGTTCAGACAAATCCGTAAGGGCAGAAAGTAGATTAGTGGCTGCCAAGGACTGAGGGAAAGTGGACAGTGTTGCCCCTGGATTCGGGATTTCTTTCTGGGATGATGAAAATGACCTGGGATGAGATCATGGTGACAGTTGCACAACTTAGTAAATATATAAAAGTCACTGGCTTGTACACTCTAATGAATTTTAGGGTATGTGACACATAGCAAACGCTTTCAGAAAATATGCACAGTAACTGAGTGCTATTATGTGGAGAGGGAAAGGAAAAAATTACTGTATTTAACTAACCCAAGTTCAGTAGTAAAAATAGCAATGCCTTGTCAAATATTTTGCTCCTCCACTCTTTAATAGTTTGAAAGGACTGGCTTATAATTCTATCATTATAGGTCAAGTTTGGTGGTGTTTAAGAATTAGAAAGATTTTAGGCAGGTATGGTATCACATGCTTGTAATCCCAGCACAAGGTAGGCTGAGGCAGGAGGATCACCATGAGTTCAAGGACAGCTTGGGCTACATAGTGAGACTCTGTCTTAAAAAACAAAAATAAAATCAAATTGAAAAGCTTGAGATTCATATATTTTCTTACCGTTGTAATTGGCTGCATCAGGATCGTCCACATTAATGGCAATGACTTTCCAGTCGGTTTCTCCTTCGTCAATCATAGCCAAGATGCCCAGAACTTTCACCCTGATTATTTCTCCTCTTGCACATACCTGAGAGTCAACAACCACAGTCAGGACAACACTACAGAATAAATCTTGAGAAGAAAAGCTTTCCTTGGTAGCTAACAGGAAATAAGAAAAATTCTAAGTTTCTGAATATTTAACTAAGATTGTTCCTTAAAGGAAATAAATAGTTCACTAGTCTTACAGTATTAAGGTTGAAAATACGACGTATAGCTCCTTGCCTAGTATGTACAAGGCTTTGAGTTCAATCCCTAGCACTACAACAAAATAAAACAACTGGACTTTTGAAAGCTTAATCACAACTTTGTTGTTAGTTGTTTACCGTTTTCAAAGAGAGATCATAAAGAAGCAACTATAATAAAAAAAAGTTTTCTTTGAGATAGGGTCTCACTATGTAGTCCAGGTTGGCCTTGAACTCACTTTGTAGCCCAGGCTGCCTTGAACTCACAGTGATCCTCCTGCCTCACCTGAGTGCTGGGATTACAGGCGTGTGCCACCACGCCCAGCTTATAATCAATATTTTAATGCCACCCTCCTCGGCAGAAGAATCACCATCAGAAGTATCCAACTTAGGTTATCTGGCATGAATCAATTCACTAATCACTCCAAAGAGGTGGGGTCTGTACTACGTGATGGAATGTCCTCCTGTCACCTTCACCTCCTAACTAGTGTCTGTCTGTTAAAGCCACTTGAGCACACCAGCTCTTCTGCATGTGTGTCCAGTCATCTGGAGAGAGACACATTTTTTTTTCCAGATGAGGTTTAAATATACAAATGATAATATATAAATATTTAGAATCAAATAGAAGCTTTTAAACCACTATTTCACTAATATTTCCATATTTTATTCACAATGTTTTTAAAGTGAGAACTTGGGTATATTTCACTGATATCATCTCAATACTATAAAAAAAAAAATCAGGTTTCATTACCTTGCTTCCAATTTCACAAACATCAATTGGGTCATTGTCACCACAACAGCCAGTGTGTTTGTCACTGTGTCCTGGGTCTTCCCAAGTCTAAAAAATAAGGCTTAGATTTGTCATTTCTGTATATCCTGCTAAGAAAAGGGATCATGTTGGTATTTCTGCAAAAGTTTGAGCATTGAGCTGCTCTTTAAGTTTTCTATTCACACTTAAGAATCTTAACTACACACAATAATCTCAAATTCTGGAGTTCCTATTATATATATAATACAAAACTGAATTTAAGACATAATGACTAGAACAAATAAAAATCAACAACTTAATAAATGAGACAATACACAAACATAAATATGTAAGGACCCAAATACTTCTACAAATATATTAAAACACAACTGCTCTGATGAACTACTGTAGGTATTTACTGTCTTCTACTACTACATTTTCTTCATAACAAATATGTAAAACAGAAGTGGGAAGGCAAAAACACTAAAATGGAAATGGTATGTTCTGATGTTAAAAGCACTGTTGTTAGTATTCAGGAGGCTGAGGCATGAGGATTGCTGTGAGCTTGAGGCCAGATGAGGCTACGTAGTGAGTTTAATCCCAGCCTGCACTACAAAGCAAGATGGAATCTCAAAAAACAAAAAAATAAACAAACAAAAAAACCAACCCCTCCCCCAAAAGCATTATTGTTGGCCAGGAGCCAAGACTGAAAATTCCAATCAGGATTTTCTGAAGTGTAAATAACTGGCTTTTTTTTGTTTTTTGCTAAATTCCAGGCTGGAGTCCTCGCAGAGCATCTTAAAAAAAGAGCTGAGGCCTGTGCTGGCCAGGAAGTTCAGTTTAAAGTGCAGCTGTTGTTTGGGTTCTTTTTCCCCAACCAGAACATCTGTGTGACTTGGATTTGCTTGCCTATTCAGCTGGAGCGAAGGCAAAAAGATAAACGTGAAAGGGAATAAGGGAGGGCCACACCCAAAAAGCCAACGTTAAGAAAACAAAAGCCAGCCTACAGAAACACAGCAGCAGTGTTTTCCCAAAGGGTAACACTTCAAAGCTACCCATGAAAGCGAGGACAAGGCCTAGGAAGAAAGCAAATGACTGGGGTGCTTTAACAAGCCAGATGAGTTTGACCTGTGTTCTAGTAACTTGTTTCACAACAGATTCCATTCTACAGACTTAGTGAATAGAAACAAACCATTTATCAACAGAAAAAACTGGAAGTGCACAGCATTAGCCTAGCCAAACTAAAATTAAATGTATCAAATACTCATAAATAGAGATGTTCCAATGACTCACTCAACCAGGCATGGTGGCGCATGCCTGTAATCCCAGCACTCAGGAGGCTGAGGCAGGAGGATTGTTGCGAGTTCAAGACCAGCCTGGGCCACAAAGTGAGCTCAAGGCCAAACTGAACTGCTGAGCGAGATCCTGTCTCAAAAAAACGACAAAAAAACCCCCAAAAACCAATGACTCACTCAAACATTAAACATCAATAGCCACCTGCACACTGGCATTGTGCCCGGGATAAACCATCAACTTCGAAGATGTTCCCCCTTCTTGAAGGACTCTTTAAGAAAACAGGGGGCAATAATTACTTTTTTTTTCTTGAGACAGAATCTCACTCTGAAGTCATTATGTAGCCCAGGCTGGCCTCAAACTCACACTGATCCTCCTGCTTCAGGCTCCCAAGCGCTAGGGTTATAGGCATGCATCACCATGCCTGGCTCCATCATTACCTTATCATGAAGAGCTTAGTCTCAGTAAGGAGAGAGCAGCACCCAAAACATAAAACATGAAGAGCTCAGACGAAGCGTGCGTGCAGGGACTGAGTGCTGCCTTCATTCTTCCCAATACCCACAGGAGCTGAGCTCCACTAACGTCTCTGAGCGGAGAGACAGGACACACACCTGCCTGCCGCCAGAAGCAGTGCTTCTGACCTCTGTCCGACTTCCACAGGATTTGTAAACCACAATGTACAGAGCTCATAGCTAGTGCATAGAAAGAAACAGCTCAGAAAAGAATAAACTTTCAAATGTGAGTTCAGACACTGTAAATACTTATAGCTGATACTGAAAAGTTGTTCAAAGAAGTAGTAAACTTATTTGATTGTTACTTTTCTACGTTTTAAAAAACTGACTACAGTGAACATTTTCTAAAGGTAATTAAATCTTTCTTCGCCAACAAAAAATGTACATTTTTGCACGTTAAGGGAGACCTACCTGAGGGATGGCACCATAGTTCCAGATGTATCCTTTATAAGGGAACAAATTGGCCACATAACGGAGTTTCCCCTTTTTTACATCTTGCTTAATTGGATTTAAAGGGTCCTTTGTAGAGATCTGAAACAAGATTGAAAATGGTTGCGGAGTTGGATGTGAAATACTACTCAAATAAGGATTTGAGGAAATGAATCATGATATACGTGTGACCCCTAATTCCATGCTGACAATTAACTTTATCTCTATCATTTATTGTAATTTGAACTGTGTCTCTAATCAGCCATTAAGCAGAAAACTTACAGGAGGTATACAGCACTATGAAGAGGGGGAAAGGTACATTTTCTAATTCCAGAAAGCAACAGCTACAACCAGCTAGGATAAATCCTAACATTTGAGAAATAAAAGCACCAAGAGTTTTACTAAAAGGACAAAGTAATTATCCAACTTCAGCTTCTCTTTAAAACCGTTTAAAAATTTTCAGGTGTCTGAATGCAAATTATTCAGGTCACTGGCAAAAAAGAGTTACACAGTACTAGGTTTTGGGAGCCTCAGAAGCAAAGCAGTGGGGAGCAGTTTGGGGCACAGCTATGGTCGGTAAAGGGCTGTGTCTGGCCAGAGCGCGGCAGGAAGACGGTCGGGCAGGGGAGTGGCCAGAGTGGGACTGGGCAGAGGTTACCCTTGAGTCTTACTGCTCCATCCTTGAGAGAATCAGTGTGGTCAACTCACGAGTACCCTACTTCTGACATCTAAGGCAAAACATTACCTCCATTTTCGCATTAGACCAGCGTGGAACTTCAACTACCATGTGGAACACATCCTGGAAAGACAAGATGGTCAGAGGTCAGAGGCCAGAGGCCAAATGAGCTAATCTGTTCTCTTCGGAGTACACCTTATTTCTCCTGAAGTTGAACCAGTCGGTCATTATATTGGATCTCTGTAGTCAATGGATTTGCACCAGATGTCAGACAACGACAGATTACAAGATAAAGGGAAATATTAACTGCAGAACCAAGGTGGCAGATGTATGGTTGTTTGCTGTACAATTCTTTGAACTTCTCCATTTTTATTTTTGTTACAGTTGTTCTGGTGTTTGGAGAGAGTTTTGCTATGTAGTCTGAGCTGACCCTGAACTCACAATGTTCCCGTCTCAGCCTCCTGAGTGCTTGCACCGTGCCTAGATATATGTTACACCAGGGTGGAAAGAGCGTTTCCAGAAAGGAGGGAAACAGTTTTTAAACAAATAGAACAGAAATTCTATCTAGGAAGAAGGCCATCTTCCAGACACTCATCTCCGAGGGCTGGCGTCTATCACCTCTCAGCACCGTGACGCTCGCGAAGTCGCTGCAGCTTGTTTCAAACTGCAGGCAGTTTGTAGACAAACCCCAAGTCAGCCTAGTCACCTGGTTTAGATAACTTAGTTTTAGTGTTAACCACATCAATGGGCTAGATCACCCACATTATTCTTCCAGTTTGGCTTTTTTTTTTTTTTTTTTTTTTTACCAGGAATTGAACTCAGGACCTTGCGCTTGCCAGGCAGGTGCTGTTCCACTGAGCTATATCCCCAGCCCAATTTGGCTATTATTGAAAACCAACTCCCCCTCAGAAAGACTAGAAGTTTGACACTGAATACAAAAGAATATGTTCAGGGGCTGGGGCTTTAGCTCAGTGGTCCAGCCTGCCGGGTCAGTGTGAGGTCCTGAATTTGATTCTTACTATCCCCCCAAAAAAAGAATATGTTCAAAACTATTTTAACCAACAGCAGTGCTATTATCATGGGAACAATTCCTGTAATACCTTCAGTTTTAAAACATACACACAATCACACTGTCATCTCATTTTGCATACTAAATTAAATATGGACCTGACATAGGCTCTTTAATTAAAATGGAGCTTCAAATAGTCAGAATATGATTTTTACTAAGGAATAAAACCTTAATAGCAGGTTATCAGTTTCTAGCCTCTATATAGGCATAGTGAAGTTAAAATCTAGTTACTCTTTTATAAAAAGTATGTCTTTAAAAGTTGGTTTCAAATGAAAAAGTGGTATGGCCTGCTACTTGGGAAGCGGAGGCAGGAGGATCATCTGAGTCCACAGGTTGAGAATAACATGGGCAACACAGCAAGATCTCATCTCAAAACAAATAATAAAGTGAAAATTACATGCACAACTTTTAAAAACTACCTCTTTTCTATTTTGCACAAGAAACTAGGGACTGACAAACTATAAGGGAGTAAGTCCGTAATGACTGTCACAGTTTAGGTCTAAAATAGCCCCCAAAGGGCCAGGGATATAGCTCAGTGACGCAAGCACCTGTCTGGCAAGTAGAAGGTCCTGAGCTCAATTCCCAGTATCAATCGATCAACCAATCAATCAAGTAATAAAATGGCCTCCAAAGCCTCATGTATTGGAAGGGGATGGATTACGGGGTGATTTGGCTGACTTGCTGCTGGGAGGTGGGGTCCAGCTGGAAATGGGGGCTGCTGTGGGTGTGAGCTGGATGGGTTTATCTCCCTCGATGCCATGAGGTCTCCTGAGTACCATGAGGTGAGCAGCTCTCCTCCACCAGACCTTCCACTATGCCAACCTCCCTGGAAGCTAGCCAACCATGGGCTGAAACATGAGCCAAAGTAAGGCTTGTCTCCACTAAGTCTGTCAGTCAGGTGAATAAAGTGACTAACATAATGATGACCTTGCTGCTACTACTTTTAATCAAGCACAAAACCTCTACCGATGTTATTCAAAAGGTAAAGTTCTGTTGCTTATTTAAATTCTTGGTCAACAACATAAAGCCATAAGAACAGAGATAATTAAATGCATGACTGAATAAACCACTCTATCCCGGCATCCTTGTAAAGTAATATTTAAATGGTTTAGAAATGTAACACTAACTGTGCCTGGGTAGGAAACAGCAGGACCAATCTTTGATTAAATTTTATTTTATCCACTGTTAAGCTTTTAAGAACTGCATTTACCTAGCACCACTTCTTAGGTATAAAAATGAGAGATCTGATTTAGGCACAGTGGTGCATATCCATAATCCGACCACTTAAGAGGCTGAGGTGGGAGGATCACAAGTTCAAGGCCAGCATGGGCAACCTGGCAAGACCCTGTCTCAGAAGAAAAAATAAAAAGGGCTGGGGATGTAGTCCAGTGGTAGAGTAATCCTGGGCTTGCCCCTTGTCTGTCTGTCTTTAATCTGTAAACAAGAACAAGTCAGGGTTTTTAAATTTGCAGCAGCAGCAATTTCCTACAGGTCCACAAGGTGGAGCTGTTACAACATGAGTTTAACCCAGAAGAGAACACAAAGGAGATTGGTTAATTTTTCAAAAGAAAATACCACCAAATGAATACATTGCTTTAAGAAAAAAGGAGTGCCAGTGAAGTACACAGCATATAACCTCAGGTAGTTGGAGGCTAAGGCAAGAGGATTTGGAGTGCAAGGGCAGCTCTAAACACAGCCAAGACCCCATGTCAAAAAACAAAACAAGTAGCAAATAGAGCTGAAGTCACTAATTCAAAGTTGGGAACTATACTGAAAACTTTAATGAACTAAAACATATGTATAGACCCTCAAAACAACATTACCTAATGTTACAAATCCATATGACTAAAGAGAAGGGAAAAAAATGAAAACTGGTACAAGAACAGAAAAATTGTTTTCTGTGAACAGAAAAACTATGAAAGCCTAAGAATCTACTGCTTTTGAGTAATTATGAGTACCGCCAGAAGATGCAAAGTGAATTCTTAGTTGTTGTTTTGTTTTTTGAAGCAGGGTGTCCTATCGTGCAGGGTGGGTTTGAATTCGCTCTGTAGCCCAGGCTTCAAACTCACAATCCTCCTGTCTCAGCCTCCCAAGTGCTGGGATTGTGGGCCTATAGTATCACACCCAGCTGAATTCATTTCTGTAAACAAAAATTCGTCGAGCACCACCACAAAGCGGCAGGCACTTTTCTAGGCTCTAAAGCCTAGCAGTAAATAAAAGTTCTTTTAAGACTTGGATTTCTGGGCTGGGAATATAGCTCAGCAGCACAGCACCTGCCTGGCAAGCACAACCGTCTGAGTTCAATTCCTAATACCAAAGAGAAAAAAAAAAAGAGTTGTATTTCCATCTGGCATGGTGGCACACACCTGTAATCCCAGCACTTGAGAGGCTCAGGCAAGAGGATTACCTCAAATCTGAAGCCAGCATGGGCTACACAGTGAGCTTAAGGCCAGCCTGAACTGTGTAGTGAGATCCTGTCTCAAAAAAGCAAAATAAAAAAGAATTTTTTTTTATACCAGCAATCAAACGCAGGACCTTGCACTTGTCAGGCAGGCGTTGTTCCACTGAGCTATATTCCCAACACCCCCAAAGATTTTTAAAACATTACATATTTGAGTATTTCCAGTATTTATGTACTATATAATGGTGAGACACTTTTAAAAGAAGTTTAGTACCATGTCTTAGCAATTCATGTCTTCTTAATCCCAACTGGTTTTAATTGTTACTTTGCCCAATCCTGGATTTTTACCCCCAGCATTGGTGATGGAACCTAGGACCTGCAGCATGCTAGGCATGCTAGATACCAAATTTTGAAAACAGATATTCTAACTATAACCTCAGTCTATTTTCTCCCTATAAAATCAATCAAGAGCCTACATTTCCAGTTGTCAAATTTTTCTGAGATTTGCAATGTCTATGAAATTTGACCTGTAACCTTTCTCAAGAAAAATGAACAATTACACCAAACTGCAGAAAATATTGTCAAATTTCTGAAGCATCAACCTATTTGACTAGAACAGTGGTAGCAAACCTATGGCACAGGTGTTGTGTTTTTAAGACAAAAATGTTTTTAAAAAAGACAAAAATGTTAGTGTAGCGTTTTTTCTAAACTACAACCTCAGTATTTAGGTGTACTTGCAGTGTTGGCACTTTGTGATAAATAAGTGGGTTCTGGGTTGCAGTCTGGCACTCATTTTCTAAAAGGTTCGCCATCACTGGACTAGAAGCTTGACTTTCTTTTGGAAGGGAAGAAAAGAAACAGTTCCCTATTTATATACATTCCTACATGCTCTCAGCAGGATCTTGGGAAACAAACAGAAGCTACATAGTCAACTACACAGTGAGAACTGGTATTTAACATCAGAGTTTTAAGATATGGACTAGAAGCCAGGTGTGGTGGTACATGCCTATAATTCCAGCACTTAGGAGGCTGAGGCAGGAGGATCTCCACGAAGTTAGGGCCAGCCTGGGCTACATAGTGAGTCCCTGTCTCAGCAAACAAACAAACAAAAAAAGAAGATATGAACTAGAAAAACATCAAACTCCTAAAATTAAATTATGAAGTCATGACATTTGAGCACTAAGTGGGCCAGAGATATAGCTCAACAGCATAAGCACTTGCCTGGCAAGCCTGAGGTCATGAGTTCAATTCCCGGTACCAAAAAAAAAAAAAAAAAAGATATTTGAGCATTAAGATTTAAATCTTTATCTGCCCAGTGTTTCATACTGTCTGTACAGTACAGTTTTATAAATTTCTGGCATCTCAGAAGTTCTGAGCTATAGGTACTTGCACATTTGATTCCAAAATAAATGCACAGTAAAGGACATTGCTAAAGAAAAATCTAGGGACTCCATGTCTTTGCCTTCTCTGCGTATTTGATTTGGACAGGATCCAAGCAGGACATTGGAGTCTCAATTTCCTGGCCTAGCTGGGTTGATTACCTGATGACATAACCAAAATGAATGTTGTCCACATCAAAAGGTCCTGACATAGGGTAGAATATGTGAGCTGGTGGACGTTTTTCCACTGTGGAGCTCAGTTGTGTTAAAGGTACATCCTTATGTGTAATGACATTCTCTCATTACCACTCCTGAAATAACAGGCCACATCAGGGAGAAAGTCTAGACTACACACATAAAAATGTGTGTATGTAAATATAATCATATTATGACATTTTAGAAAAAGAAAACCTCACTGTTCTATAACAAAATGAATTAGACTTTTGGGGGCTATAATCCAAAATAACTTCTGTCACCCTCACCTTTATTTGTATTATAAACAGATAACTTCCTTCAAAACAGAACAGAACAGAACAAAAGAGCTTCCGGCCACTCAGGCAAGAATCATACGTGCCGAGGTCCCTTAGGGTCAGGCCTACTGGCGAAACCAAAGTTTTCAGAAGGGCTCATACTTCTGAGGCATCACAGGAGAAATGAGGGCAGAGCCTTCACCTGAGTCACATCACAGACACAACCGAGACACCAGTGTCACAGGCAACCTGCGAAGATTATTTACGAGACTATGTGGTCTCAGTTTCCTACTTTAAGGTACCTCGAAGCAGCATAAGAGCAGGTACCTCACATCTATGATCATCCTGGTCCTTGGCTAGAACACTGTCCAATCACTTACAAACACCAAAAATCCACTACATATCAAGGTATTTTCTTTGCTCAGCACACCTGTTTGATGGTACCATCTATTAAGCTAGGACTATCCAGGCACAGTAGAGCACGCTTTTAGTCCCAGCTACTTTGAAGGCTGAGGCAGGACGATGGCAAGTTCAAGCAACTTAGTGAGATTCTGTTTCCAAAAAAGTGGAAATTCTAGCAGCCCTCTTGGGTAGGAGTTATGGATAGGGGCTGGGGATTTAGCTCAGCGGCAAAGAGCCTGCCTGGCAAGTGCAAGGTCGTGAGTTTGGTTCCTGGTACCGGAGAAAAACCAAAAAAAAAAAAAAAAAAAAGGAATTATGGATAAACATCATCCGGATTTGATCTTCTGCCAAAAGCAAGCTGGTGCTGCCATCGGAAGACGTGACAAATGTGATGGTAAGTGTGTAATCTGTGATTCTTATGTGCGTCCCTGCACCCTGGTGCGAATATGTGGTGGGTGTTAATTACGGCTCTTACCAGGGGCACTGTGTAATCTGCACAGGTCCAGAGTCTTTGATGCCTACTATTGGAAAGTGTGCACCACCCAGGAGAAGGATCAAGATGGTTACCTGAAGATCATCAACTTAGGGAGCTCTAAGACAGACCTCTTTTATGAACACAAAAGAAAATACGGCTTCAAGAAGAAGTGATTGGCAGGTGGCCCCTGCCTCCCCCATCAAGGTGCTGCAGGTGCCAGAAAAGACACCCAAAACCACCAGCAGAGAGCCTAGCCTGTGCCTTACCGTACCCACCTGCTAGTACGCGGCCACCTCGCCACCCTCCCTCCTCGCCCAGTGTGGGTCAGACAGGCTTGGAAAAGGATTCTTCACAGAGCACCCTGGCGGACTACTGAGGAAAAACTGGTAAGATCAGTGCATGGTTTTTCTTAACTCCTGAGACGCAAGGCTCTGTTCTCCACACTGATGTGCTTTCTCTACTCCAGGAGCTTCTTACCAGAGTCCCTGTCGGTCATGTGACACAGGGCTAACGGTGAAGCTGCCCCCCCCAGTGCCCAGCATGTCCCTCAGGAGCTTGATGACCCTTAGGAGGGTGGCAGGGAGCTACCAGAACAATGTGACGCAAGCATTTAATCCTGTAACACCAGGTGGTGCGGGTTTCAGGTCAGTTTTCTTCTGAGAAATTGGAAACCCTTTCTGCTGCTATTGTGTTAATAAAGTTGGTGTTTATATTCTGGTAAAAAACAAAAAGCAAATGTGGAAAAAGGTGTGTACCTCAGTGGTACAGCACCTACCTACCATGTGTGAGGCCCTGGGTATAAATCCCCAACACCACAAAATAACAAAGTAAAGTAAATCTAGGGGGCTTCATACCTTCCTATCACTCAGAATGAGCTGAAACATTAGGGTGAAGTATTTTACAGTATAATTTACATACACTATATACAGAAAACAGGTAAGTCAAGCCAACCAAACAGGGCTATTTCAAAAGATGGAGGGGACTCTGCAGTTCACATCAATTCCCAGGAAATCATATATAACAAATCAGTTTCTGAGTAAGTACAACTTTGAGAATCCCACAGGAAAGCACATGCCAATTAGAGGTCCCTGCTGTAACTGTGGCAGGTAATTGGTCTCAGGTCTGCTCCAATGCCTCCAGCTGGAGCCCAGCTCGGGCAGGCTCCTTTGAAACAACTGAGAAGATGGATTTTCTGCATGCAAATATCAAAATGGAACCACAGCAGACTTCCTGGTAGAAGTACATACAATCAATTCGTCTATTTCTGAGAAGCAAGTCCAAAAGATGATAAAACTCAGCACACACAAGGACAAAATTTAAAAATCTTTACTGTTATTCTACATGTGTGCTGGAATGTGATATTCACCTGTATTATGTATCAACACTGGGCTAAGAAAGGTCAATGACCTACGCAGCTTTTACAGCTCAAAAAGCTCGGTACTCCATGTGACTGATGGAAAAAAATATGAAAGGTTTACAAAGAATCAGGTATCTGTCCTGGGTCAAGTTCCTAAATACAGTACAAACTTCTCTCATCAGGAAGAAAGCTGGAAAAAAGCCTTTTTTTCTTTCTTTTTTTAACATTACTATTTAAAGGTATAAAAATATAGGCTGGGGTGTAGCTCAGAGGTTGAGCTCTTGCTCAGAATGCACAAGGCCCTGGGTTCCATCCCTGACACCATAAAAAAAAAAAGGTACTAGTGTTACTACCACCTAAGGATCATAAATATTCTTATTAATTCATAGCAAACTTACCAATTTCCACTAAAGTTAGATTTCTTCAGATCACTGGTATGTATAGGTACAGACATTTCCTTTTAGGCATCTGTGTACTCACTTTTTTTGGCACTATTTGCAAATCACTCTGCTAGCCTATGAATTATCTTGTACCGAATAATGTACTTTATTTTTACTGTTTAATAAACAGTCAAAAGTCTGTGCTGGCTACCTGGTTCATTTTCAAACCACCAATGAAGTATTAGGATTTTATGTCCAAATTCACATACAGAAAAGACAAATATGATTTAAACAAACAAAAAAACTAACACAGCTTAAAACTTGCTTCTGGTCTTCTACCTCTGCTCCAATTTACAGTTGCTCCTTAAACTGAATGATCTGGTTGAAAGACTAAGCTTCTTCTTTGTCAATGAACCTTTAACTTACAGCACACTGAGGCATTTTAACCACTTGCATAAGAAAACCCTTATGCAGAACTAGCCGGTCTGAGGAAAGAGACCAGGTTCAAAACAGGGATACCTACCTCATCTGCATAAATCGGAATATCATGAAATGGAGATACATACTGTCCTCTTTCATTTTCTGCAAAATAAATTAGAAAAGTTATTACTGCCAGGAGTGGTGGCACATGCAGTAATCCCAGCACTCGGGAGACTGAGATAGGAGAATCACTGTTAATTTGAGGCCAGCCTGCACTATATAGTGAGACACCCCCCACCCCACCCCCGTCTCAAAAAAAAAAAAGAGTTGCTACTATGATTAATTATATTGCTAAATGTATGACACACACAATTTTATTCCCACCCAAAAAATAAACAGATAAAACCTGGTTGTGTACAGCGGCCTAGGAAGGTCCCCGGTCACTCCTGCCCCAGGGGCCACCCATGGGGAGCCAGCCCACTCCTCCAAGCTTTCTCCACCCAGGGCCATATGTGGGAGACCTAGTTGACCTACTTTGTTCCCTCTGACCTGGGGGCAAACAAGGAAGAAAAGACAGTGAGTCTGTTTAACAGGAGGACAGCCAGGGGGTTCTCTCCTCTAGTAGGCAGAGAAGTGACTAAAAGTCCAAACACTGATACAAGCAATTAAAGGAACACAAGACTCACCTGCCTTCCAGTATCTATTTAGTACATGCTCAGAGAACCAACTTAAACTCAGCTCTTTTTTTTTTTTTTTTTTTTTGGTCTTTTTGCGACAGGGTCTCACTATACAGTTCAGGCTGGCCTTGAGCTCCCTTTGTAGCCCACACTGGTCTCGAACTTGCAACGATCCTCCTGCCTCAGCCTCCTGAGTGCTTGGGATTACAGGTGTGCGCCACCACGCCCGGCTTCAGCTGTATTCTTTATCCTTTGTGCTCACTGAGGAGGCCAGTTAAGCCTCAATTTGCCTCCAATCTCCCAGAGTTCCATATTTCCCCTTCCCTGAGCCTCCCCCAAGATCAGGTTTTCATGCTAAGCACCTGATAGGCTTGTAACTGCATTAATCCCTAGCCTTGCATGTCCTGACCTCTGCAGTGCTAATAGTATTCACACAGTGATTAAATTATTTTTGATCTTGTATCAGCTAACTCATTTCAGAACTCTTATGAAATAACTGGAGAGAAAAGAACAGACCATTTTGCTAAATTATAAACTGTGTTGCTTTAAATGTTTCAGCAGGCCAGAACCTTTGATTACAATTTTTCTCAAGGATAATCAAGGTGTAACGAAGTCTTCATAGGTAACTTCTATGTTCTAGACTCAACTACCATATCCACAAGTACAGTAATTTAAAAAATTCCTCAGCTGGAGCATATAGCTCAATGGTCGAGAGCTTGTATAGCATGTGCCCCGACTGGAGTCCCATCCCTAGGACTGCAAACAAATAAAAAAACCTTTCTCACTATTCAGGAGGAAACGTATGAATCCATCTACCTTACCAAAGTGAACAGAACAATTTGAACAGTGACTGCCCTCAAGCTTGGGCCCCTTCCCAATCACCCTTGACTCTGCTGTCTATTGGATCCTTATACTTCTATTAAGGAAGAATACCAAGAAATCTATGATTTTTAAAAATTAGTTAACTTGGGGGCAGGGATACAGCTCAGCAGCACAGCTCCTGCCTGGCCAGCCCAAGGTCCTGAATTTGATTCCCAGTACCAAAAAGAAAAAAAAGTTAATTGCATAGTTGGTTCTAATTATTGGGTTTTTGTTTTTGTTTTTCAGTACTGGGAATTGACTCCATGGCCTCAAACATGCTAAGCAAGTGCTCTACCCCTGAGTCAGCCCTACCCCCAGGCTCTTATCGGTATTAAATTCCCAAGAGTTTCACTTGATAAATTTACATTAGCGGGATCAAAGTCAAGCAGTGGCTTTGCTGTCCCCCAATGGCCTCAAATACTCACTGCCAATACCGATCTAAGTACAAACAGCGAGTCCATTGTAAATGTGTAGCTCGAAGGCCATTTCCAGACGATCCCCTCACCTTTCAAAGCAGAGACACCTTCCTACAGTAAATCCATTCTACAGAGAAATTCCGGAGACAACACTATTTCCAGAAAAACAGCGCAGTGATTTATGAATCCAAAGTTCCTGTATTGCCCTTATTACTTAATTGTGAAATTAAATAATGGGAAGTCTTAGCCTTCCTGAATTTACCTGGCGGTTTAACTTTCAGCTAAGCACGCAAACTTTAGAATTCACTTTCCTCTTCCTCCCATCCCAAGCTAAATTTTGCTAGGCGCTAGGTTCATTCTTCCAATACTGTATTCCCAGTCGCGCCCTCCACCCTACCTTTTCCTGCCCTTCGTACACTAACCCGGACTTCGCTGAACATGCCTGTTCTCTTTAGCATAAAACTGTAAAGAGGGTAAAACAGGAGGGGCCTTTGGTCACCCAACACCTCTGCTCCGTTGGCGCCATTAATCTATTCCTAGTAGCTACAGGATGCAGAGGAGAAAAATAAACCCTAGGTAGCTACAAGGCACAAGGGGGTGTGCCCAGAGAGCTGGGGCACCGTCAGTCTCCAGCCTCCCGCTCCCGCGAGCAGGACTCGGAAAGAGATTCCGGACCCAGGCTAAACACTTGGCACTCTGCCTCCCGACCGACGTCGCCCGTGTGACTGGCGGGGAACCGCTTTCTGTTTCAGAAGAAACCCTCCCAGCGTCAGCGCTCACGGGGAAACCCGAGGCAGGAGGAGCAGAGGCGCGACGCCCGAGGACGGCCCAGCGTGGGCGGGCCTCAGTTTCCCCGGCCGTCCACCCAGGGGGCTCTCGACCCGGCTCAGCGCCGGCCATCTGCACCACGGCGGCGGAGCCGAGGCGTCAGGCAGTCGCCGCCCCTGCCCCGTTCCTCCAGACAGCAATCCTCCTACGGGGCTCTCCTCTAGGGTGACTCGGTGGTTCCCTTCCCCAGGGATCCCTCCCCAGCCCAGCTCTGGCAAAACCAGCCCGGCGCGGTCGCGCTCTGCGGGAGCGGGGAAGGCGGCGTTTCCCTTCGGCCGGGAGGGCCGCGCGAGGCGACCCTCGGCGGGGCGGCCGGCAGGGCCCAGGG